TCCTGCTGCTTTGTGTAGGTGATTAAAAGGTGAACATGCTCAACCGAGTAACTGAGACGAGGGTTCTGAACAGAACCCTGGTTATCCGCCCCCCTGCCCCGCAAATAAGCAAGTTAGACGCTGAAATGCTAACTGAACAAGCGCGGCCCGGCACAATCCGGCGCAGACGAGAACCAGACGGGACGCAGCAGACGACCTTCAAAGCACGCGCGGGACATACCTGCTTCCTTCTCTCCAGTCTCTCCTGCTTTAACTTTTCTTTTTCCTTTTCCAGCTCCTTGTTTTTGAGCAGAATGGGGGCTTTACTTCCGGGAGTCTTCCTGTTGAGGATTTTGGCCATGGCGTCCGCCCAGCCCCCGCTGGCCCCCACACGCGCTTCCGCGGCATTTCCGTCCTCACGGTCGCGGGCTCCGGCCTCGCCCTCACTGTCGGCTTCTACCGCTTCACCATCAGAAGAAAACGGATCCTCTTCTGGTCTACAGATTCCTACGGAACCTACAAGAAGGAACAAATGAAACTTTACCGCCGGAGGCAGAGGAGGCCAAGGCCATTGCCAGACCCCGGTGCCCTGCGTAAAGCTAACAGTTCTCAGTGCGCCTCCATTCTTGCAGAAGGGGACTTTTCAAAGTCCCACGGCTGCAAGAGTAGCGGACGGCAGTCACGGTGGCAGCGCCATCCTGCCACGTCGGCCTCCCAAGGCCCGGCCAGCCGTTGACGGGGGAGGCCGCAGCGGCTCCAGAAACAAAGCCAAGGGCCGCCACCACACCCTGCTGTCGAGGCGGTCACCGACGCTGCACGGAGCCAGCGCGGGGTATGCGCGAGTCCATGGGCCTCGACTGTGTCAGTAAACTACCTGAAGAGAACAATGAAGATTTTAATCTATCGGGAAAATGGTACAGCGCTTCCATGGCACAGAGAAGGCGGAACAACTTCTCTGAGGGATCTGGCTCAGGCATTTAAAATTCTGAATTCATGTGCAAAAAAAAAAAAGAAAACCAAAAAAGCGCCTCTTTTTATAAAATTTGCCTATCTATTTATAAAATTGGTGTCTTAACATCTTTGAAAAATAATCTAATGAAGTAACACGCACCCAAGATACGGAGGACTCAGCTGCGCTGCTGGGTGACCGGACGAGAAGACCGAGATCGGAACTGAAGATACGAACGTGTACGATGGGAACTTTACCGCACAGAACCGCCCCGAAAAGCAGATGCAGGTTACCAGCAAACTAGTTCATCATTCAAGAGTCAAATGGCTGGGCTCAGAGGCCTGACAGAAACTGTCCAGCTGGTGGCCTCGCTTGAAAACTAACCTGTTGAGAAGCTCTGGGCACTTTTAAGTTTGAAGCTTTTCTCAACGTCTGAAGTTAACTGCAGTCCAGCAGCGAGCGCTCAAGCGGCCGGCACAGTCTGCGTGTGTCACGCGACCCAGAGCCTTCTGCAGAGCTTGGTTTTGTTCTTCAGAAACCTATGGAACTTAGCAGGAAATCCTTCAAAGGAGAAAATCATCCCAACAGCTGAGGAGCTTGGAATGCTTCTTAATAAGCAGGAGAAGAGCTGGCAGAGAAGGCCGAGGAGTCACCAAAGAGGAAGAGACCTTGGGGACACCCACGACTGCCACTCAGCGGTACTGTCTTTACACTTTTAAAAAGCACAGCCTTAAAACATAAAGTATGTCAATGGTATGAAAAAGTACGATAAACGCAAGAGATCACTAATAACTCCACTGCCCTAATGTACTGCATATTTCCTAATAAAGAGAATTTTTAAAAATTTATTTGCCACATATTTGAGGCCTTCTCTGTAGGCTGTCTGCTCAGTAAATTTATGAAATCTGAGGACCTATGACTTCAGGCTTTGACATACAGGAGATATAAGAACATATAAGAGATATAAGAACTAAATTATCGCCCACAATATTAAAAAAAAAGCTTTGCCAAACAAAAGCTGATAGCACCATCATGCAATCCAATGAGTTTGAACATCCACCGTTTACCAGATCCCAGCGTCACACATTCTCCCCCCAAAAGCATCTTCCTCTCAATGCAAAGCGCAATGAGAAACAACATTCAGAGAATGTAGTTAGCTGAAAACTAAGCCTGCTACGAGTACACGTTTTATTCCACAGGGTCAGCAGTACTAATAACAAAATAAACAATTCTCTGAAAAGTGCTTCTTTTGGTAAGCACGTACATGCGGCACGGCGGCTAGGAGTCTGTGTCGATGAAGAGCATCTGGGTGATTAAAAGCAGAGGTCTCTGCCGGCTCCTGGTAAAATGTCACGACTGCAACAGTGACATCTTGTGTCCTGCCCCGATGAATTCACACATGATCTGCAGCAAACTTCACGTGCCTCAGGTGCCCTGCACAGGCAGCCAACGGGCGTTATGACCGTACAAGCCACTCCAAACCGCCTCCTCTAAACCCTGGCTGTTTTTTGTTTTTTTGTTTTTTTGGTGTTTCTTACCCAGCTTGACTACCATAAAATGCACAATATGGAAACATGACAAACCTGTGGAAAGTTTTCTAATGCCATTTCACAACCAGCGCTCGCCCACCAACCAAAAAAAATTCCAGAAGAATGTACTTAAGTCATAGTTCTTTTTTTTTTAAAGAAGCTCTACCCCAGAAGTTTTTAGACATTCACTTACAATAGAAATGATGCTGTTTTACATAAATAAATTAAAAATGACAATGTAATGAGGTCTTCCAGCATCCTGAGAAACAGGATTTACTTCTAGGACACCACAGATAATCATGATGCAAATCAGAAAGCAGAACTGATTCTTAAAAATTAACTGTATCCTATAAAATTGAGATTTAAAAAAAATTTTTCCACTAAGTGATCATTAACAGCACAGGGGGATATATCCAGGGGTCTGAGGGCACCGGATAAGTGAAGAATGTCTTTGAAGTCCTGTGTGCTATTTTAAAAAGTAACTCTAATCTTGCAGTCTGTGTTAAAACTCCCGAAGAAGGGAGGGCTACAAAGACTGCGCACGGGAAGTGACAACTGAAGGCCTCGGCCGGGCTTTCTGCATTCGTGCAAAGGTTCTATTCTCAGAGACGGTCACTTGAGAGCTTCACACATGGCCAGAATAACTGAGGAACTGAATTTTAATTTAATTTAGTTTCGATTACTTTAAATTTCAAGAGCTGCACGTGGCTAGTGCCCGCCATGGTGGATGAGGCAGGATTAGACCTCTGCGGTCTCCTGCTGCCTTTCCCCAAACTGCCAGCTTCCTTTCAAACTTGCCATCTGTTGCTGACCCCAGATACCGTTAGCTGCTGGCAAGAAAGTGAGCCGCTTTGCTTAGCCTTCGGAACTGGGATAAAGTTTTAAGAAGACTCACAGGCCCTTGGTATTTACTGGTACTCGTGAATGGCGAGGAAGGAAGGTGAAAATGAAAACTCTCAATCTAGGTTTCTCTTCCTGGAGAAATCAAATGTTCGGTGTAGGCAGACAAATCGCTTAGCCAACTACAAAATTTGGTTTTGCAATTTGTAAAATGTACAAGTGTTCTTCTAAAAGAAAAGCTATTAACAAAAAAAGAATGACTGTGGGGTTATCTCTTACAAAGATGGCAGATACTCAGCTGTTTCTCAAAGAGCAGAAAGCAAGGGTGTGAATGACGAGAGAAGGGAGGAGGCCAAAGAAGTGAGTCTGTGACCCAGGCCGACTGAAAGAGGCAGGGGCAACATCACTCAGTCTAGAACCCAAAATGGCCTCGATTCGAGTCGATGCTCTGTATGAAAATTAAATTTTTTCCTGTATTCATCATTACTGGCACGTCCGGCGGCACGGGAATGTCAAAGAAGCTTAAGAATCGAGTTTGCATTGTGTCTAAACCCCTAACAATGCACCAGTTCAATAAATCTGAGTAGTTCAGGATAACTCAGAGGTGAGGTTATCAACCTCCATTTTTTAATACTTGGTATCATCAACCACCGTTGATATTTCTTCACCTGAGTTGAACTACTAACTAGGAAGTGTTTTGTTTGTTTGTTTTTTGCTTGCTAGTTTTTTGAAGACTACACACAAACTTAAGAGCCAAGTACACACTGCCTCTAGACCTGGAACGAGGTATCATCAGGTCAATAATCTAACCAATGTGAACTCATACAGTGGTGCCATCCTCCCCCTTCTAACGCTTGATATTTATCTACTATTTAAAATGCTGATTGCAGTATTTTACCTTCCATATTCCTGATTCATGATCGCTTTTGATTTTACAATGATCAAATTTCAAACTCTACTGAAGAGTATTACAATTTACCAAAAGTTCAGTTTGAATTGTTTTGCTATCATTCGAGTTTACAATTTCTGTTCACTTTACCCTCAATGATATCTGGTAGATGAGAAAGAGTCTAAAAATCTCATTAAGAGAAGTTTCCCAGTTACTCAGCAAATATATAGGTATTGAGTAAGACGCCATGTGTCGGTCTCAATGCCAAGTTCTAAGATGTAGCCGTTGACCACGCTGATAAGGCCTCTCCCCAAAGAGGTGGGAAACTTCTGCAAAGTCTGACAATCAGTACCTTAGGGTTTTAGATCCATAAAAGCACAACTTCTACCTTTCTTATACAAGTGTCAAAAGAAATTAAAGCCAGAAGATGAAAAACAAAGTTCAAATAACACATAGGTTATACCGGTGTGTCTTCTATGAAATTTAAGTAGCATCTTGCTCAAAGATGTTGCTTTCAAATGTTGATATAAGGCATATCCCTATCAATTTTTAGGATCAAATTAAAATTCAAAAATAAGTCTCTGATTCATTTTCTCGATAAAATGAGCATGTACACAATAAGCCTATAATTTACACACTGATTCCTCCCGTGTCTGAAGCCAAATTCACTCTTTTGCCTTTACAGGTTTTCAGTATTACCTGAAAATTTCTGATAACTTAATAGTTCTGCCAAGGCCACATGTACAAGAACATCTGAACTAGAAAAGCTTTTTCCATGGGTCACCTTTCCAGAAATATCTGATTTCATTACAGAAGAAAACAGCAGTTTCTTGCATTAAACAGCAAATCCTGAGTTAAACCAAAGGAGGATGTCTCATCTTATAACCAACAGATCTACAATACTGAATTTATTATATAAAAGGCCCTTTATTATTCATCTCTACTGCAGAGATACAGACTAAATCTTGAAAGAAAAAGTAGATGGAAATAACTAAGTTGAAACTTAAAGGACATAGGAAAGCTGGTTAAGAGAAAGTGAAGGAAAAAAAACAAAGTATGTTTGTAGAACCACCGCACTGCTGGGAGCAGAGAGAGCATACTGTGTTCAAGAAACAGGGAGTTCAGAATGCGCTAACACCAGTAAGTGCAGGAACTTGTATCTCTAAGGAGAAAGACCTGTTAAAGAAAAATAATAATATTGTATACTATGAGTAATATGCGTAAGACAGAAGGAAGCAATGCCTGCGCTGGGTTCTACGGGATATGGGTCTGTCTCCATCCTTACCATTTTTAACTGGACCACGATCGTGACAACTACCTTTATAACCATCTCTTAATAATACTTATTACATTGTATTACAGTCCTGTTTAATATCCTTACGACTGTAATTCTAGGGCAGGAATTTATTCATTCTTTGTATCCTCAACACCTGGAGGGTGACTGCAATATAACAACACGACTGTTCACTGAACTGAACTGAATAATTAGGTTTCCATATTAGCAAAAAACCTTCTTAACCCATAATGTAATTGACATATTAGCAAGAGAACCTTAGACCCTAATAAGTATTTACAATAATGCACTGAGAAGTCAGAAGAGTCCTAACTTGGAATTATCAAGTACTTGAAAAGGGGCGTCTGATTTCCATGTGGCTAGATTACACTTAGTGGTTAGTAAGGGGCGGAGTGGCAGATGTAGGCTAACAATTTTGGACGTTATACTGAGATGGGAAACCACTCGATCATCTCGAGCACGTAACTGACATGAGCTGAGGTACATCATAAAGAACAGCTCTGGCTGTCACAAAGCTCTAGCTGTAAAAAGACCTAACACCTGGGCAGTAGGAGGCAGGGGTCCTCTGCAATTCCTTGTAACCTAAAAAGCTACTAATGCCAAGAATAAAGATACAGAGGAAGCAGCATGGAAACCGCACGGTTGAAGGCCTCGAACGTCTTTCCTCCTTTCAAAATCAAGCCTCTCTGAGAGAGGCAGTTTCCTACTGCTATTTTTATTTATTCTACTTTAGCCACCTACTCTTCCTTCATTCACTGCTATCTACTCTCCAACTCCCCAACACAAGCACGCACCCACCGCCCGAGCAGAGTCAGGCGCACAGCATCCATCTTCCTCTTACCTCCTTCCGCGTTTGCTCCTCACTCCCTATGAGCCCTATCCCATTCTTGTAATTTCAAAAAAAACCCTTTCCATTTCTCCTTTTGTTACTGTAAGCTTGTTTGCTGCTGTAAACGGCGGCGGTTCTGTCCCGTTTAGTTAATAACAGTGACCCTGAAAACGTCTAGTCAAAGAATGTGTAAGCTCGAAGAGATGACGGCGTCCCTTCCCTGAACACTATTTCCCGACGCCTTTTCACCCGGCCAAAGTCGCCCGCAGGACGCCAGGCCGAGATATAACGCGGCCGGCGACCAACACCCGCACTGGCTCTCCCTGCTTCCCGCAACCTCGGCCTGGCCTTTCCTCTAAGCAGCCGGAGCTCAGCCCTAGGACGTTACCTCCAAAGTCGGCAGCATCTTTGTCCTCATCTTTCAGTTCCGATGCTACAGCCTTGGCTACCGTTTTAATCTTCTTCTTCTTCTTTAGTGAAGTTTTCAGCTTTTTCCCCGCACTCACACGTGAGTCGGGAACGGCCGCGGCCATGTTTCCTCGCCGGAAGCGTCCCTGAGACTTCCGTCCGGTGGTAAAGAGAAACCGTTCGGCATCTAGGTCCGGCAACGCAAGGTTCCGGGGCGTGGCCGGGTAGCCCGGCGTTCTGGCTGGAGCCTCAGCATCGAGGCTGGAGAGAAGTCTGGTTTCCCATTGCAATCCGAACAGTATCTCGCTTTCCTCCTCTGGGTCCCAGGCGTTAGGGGATCCAGTCCCAGTCTTATCCCTCGGAGCCCGACGGCGCGGTGCAGACCCGGCTCCAGGGTCCCTTCTCCTGCCTCCCGCCCGAGGCCAGCATCCCCCAAGGTCAGACTGCCACCTGCCTTCGCTGCCCCGTGTCCCCTCCGAGCAGCTACCACAGTCCCCGGCCTAAATCGTTGGCTTCCTGAAATTACGGCCCAAATCTCATTCACCATTTCCACTCCCACCCCCTTGGCTAACAATGGGGCCTGGGGCCCCAAAAAATATTTTTGGAAGGCATTAATGAATGAATGAATGATAGACTACAACTATTGAAAAGGTTAATGAACCAGACGGATGAGATAACAAACCTTACATCGTGTTCTGTAGGCCAGGCGTATTCTAAAGGCTTTCCAAACTTAGCTTGGAGATTTTCCGGTGGAGGGTTTCTGAGTTTTTAATACCCGAACTTTTTAAAGGAGTACGAATTCTTAAATTTGACATTCTGGCTGTTTAGATAAGGGGGGAAAATACATATATTCATATAATAAGGGGGGGAAAAAAAAAAACATTTATATATGTATGTGTGTATGTATGTATGGATATATATATACACGCACATACATATTCACATATATAAATGAATATATATATATATTCAGTACATTTTAAAACAAAACCGCATGCAGGAAATGTTTCATTCCAAATACAATTGGTAAAAGATCGAATGCCAGCATAAACCTTTTGAAAAGTGGAATTATTGTCGACAGGAGAGATGGATCTCGGAAGTGGGCCCTTTATATTGTCGCTGGTGCCCAGGTACCCTGCCATCCCGCCCCATGCAAACCTTTAGCTGCCACTGCACGTTGGTCTTGAACCTGTGTCCCGCTGACTTTTGTATTTAGCCCTTGTTTTTGCCTGGCGCTACACGAGTTCAAAACGAATTTGGGAAAACGTCGAATTGTAGAGAAGGAAGCAACGTGAGAGAGAAGAATGATTAAAGTGTAAAGAGAGGTGTCTGCACATGAAACACTAATCGTTAGTATCATTTGGTGATCACAAGTGACGTTTCGAGAATTTTACACCTTAACATGATGGTTTATATAGAGGGATTTACTATGTTTACTTACCATTTGAGAAACTGTGTGAAGGTAAGGTTGGTTGATTTGTTATAGATTCAAGTTTTCTTTTTAAAAATAACATAAGATAGGCCTCCAGGTTTTCCTGTGGGAATCTGATTTTTTCAGAAAGGGATTACTGCTATTAAGCAGGAGATTCCTCTTTTAATTTATTGAATCTTCACAATAAGCCAATGAATTAAGATACTCATTTTACCTAATTAGGTTCCCATCTTACGGATGAGGAAACTGAGGCACAGAAAAGATTAAATAATTGCTCAAGGGCATACAGCCAGTAAGTGGCAGAATCACATTCGAACCTAAGTAGTCTGTCTGCTCCAGTATCTGCTAAACCACTGAGCTACTGTGCCAGACTGTTGCCCTTAGCACTTACCGAGTATATCCTGAGAACAGACAATGGACATTTCTGGCAAGCATGGGAATTCATAAATTAGAAGAAGAAGAAGAAAAAAACTCTGCCCTCACAATAACCTAAAATAATTGGCAGGAGGCAAATAGAATGTCCACCGTATGATGGAAATGACCAAAGTCACCGATATACTCGTATGCGGACCTGTGCTAGCTAGCGGCTTAATGCCTCTCAGCTCCACATTCATCCTTTTTGGCTGCTCTGTGAAAATACAGCGGGATCCTATGAATAGTTTTCCTTTGCCTGGACCAGAGGGATGTTCGGCTTTGTCAGTAGGGGGCACTATAGTGACATAAGAAGGAGACTTCGTCCTGGTCACAGTGTGGTGTTCTCTGCAGACTCCTGGCACAGCTTCTCCAGCCCCCTGACTCTGGCATCTGGCTCCTGTTTCTCCAGCATCTGGCTCCTGCGATGCAGTGGTCAGCAGCACCCAGTGGCCGGCAATCACCCCACCCCACCCCCCGCTCTATGCAGTTTCATAGCAGAGTGGCTCTAGTGGGACACCTTCCAAGGAACAACTCTCTCTGGCACCTCGAAAGGGCATCAATTTCCAGAAAGTACCAGAAGGTGGATTTCCAGCAAGTCCTTACAAAATAAATTTTGTAAGACTGTTCCGCTAACTGCAGATATTTATTATTCCTCGAGTTATCTATTTTTGTAACCACGTGTGGCCCATCAGGAATTTAGGTGAGCACCCATCAGTGCGTGCTTGTGAGACACGGCCCAAGACCGCAAAGCCTCGAAGCATTAGTCGCTCTGCTATGAAACTAATCAGCAGAACGTAACACAGTTTTCTTTTAGCCACTGAAAATGAGGGAATCCCCGGAAGAAATGGCCACCGTTCTCATAGGGTAAAGTAGTTTGATAGGAAAAGGATGTCGGGATGAGTGTGAGGGGATCTGCTTTCTCGTCCTATTTGCATTCTAACGAGATATGCCTAGTGGACATTAGGGTGCCTGCCCAGCATCCTGTGAGCAGGACCCTGTTTTTCTGTTATTAACTCCTCCCCTTCACAGCTGCGTGCCTCACAGGCCGCTAATCTCACCCCAGGAGCCAAGTTCAAGGCTGAGTCTGGCTGGTTTAAGGGTAAACCCATGGGCTTTGCTAGGAATAGCAGTGCAACCCAATAGGACATGACAGGAAGCCAAGCGGACAGTTTCCTGACGCCATGAGTAGAAGAAGCACAAGTAAAG